ATTTTTCTTTTTCTGTTCAACTTAAAAGAACACACTTTACACTTTACAAGTATATTGACATAAAGAACAAATTTTCCTCACTTTGTTCTATATTTTATATTTTTATTTTTCTCACATTTATTAAAACACAACCACCTCCCGATACCACATGTACAAACCCACACTGACATTAACACACACACACAATGACGAACAATAACAAAGCTCTCTATATTGTACTACTAATAATATTGATTTATATATGTCGCGACTACTCATAATACAAAATAATCTCTTGTGGTGCTGTTATTATGATGTGTTTACTTTAGTAACATTTTGAAGACTATCTTTGAACTACTCGACTACATATATTATTTTAAAAAATCAATCATTATTGTTTTAAAAATATTTTCATACTGTATAGATCTACTTAATTAAAATATTATTCAATACACTTTGGTTTTCTTCTTTATTGTTTTACCCCATGTTTTGTTTGTGCAGTAGACGACTATGAGCACAAGTTAACATGGAGCCATGCCTAATACCATTTGTAAGTGCGGCCACTATATCAAAGTATCTAGTATGAACAAAAATGCAAACACTCAAGCCTCATTTTCGAGAAGGAAAAAATGGACGAGAAACGAGGAATCGATTTTATATAGCCTATAACAGACTGCATTCGATAGCCTATCATAAATATATCAGATTCTGGTGGTTGTAAATACATTACCTTTAATCGAGTGCATGCGAGTTCGGGGCGCCAAGTGTTACCCTAATTTTTCGGTATAAAATCACCTCATTTTGTTACAAGATTTATACCGAATTAATATTGTTACTAAATTATTTGTACCGAATTTATTTTGTTACAAAATAACTAAAAACAGTTATTTTGTAACAAAATTGTATTTTGTTAAAAACTTTTGTAACAAAATAATTTGTACCGAATTCTGAAGCCCAACATGCGTACATATTTATCAGTATATTACCTATTTCGTTTTAAGGCGTTTTATTGGTTATAAACATTGGGCAAGGTTGTTTGAGGATGATGAGAAGGGGTTGGCTTAGTGATATAGCCTGGATGGTTAGGGGCTAGTGTGAGGGGCTGTTGGGGGTGTTCAGGGGAATAAAGGAGTATGTATTACCTACTTCGTTTTAAGGGTTTTTAATATTAATTATGAACAGTGGGCAGGATAGTCTTAGGGTGATGAGAAGGGGTTGGGCATAGTCATGTCGCCTGGATGGGTTGGGGCTAGCGGGGGGGGGGGGGGGGGGGCGTTATAGGATATATAGGGTAACACTTGGCGCCCCATATGCAAGCGCATCAATTCTCATAAGCCGAAGGGGGAACGAGCATTTATGACATAGGAACTTGAAGGGGTAATAGTCAAACTAAAAAGGGCAGTTATCTGTGGTGAAAGGGGGCCCTTCTCATATCTAAACATAATATGAAATAGTATGAACTACTCACTGTATTTATATAATCAATCGGAAGGCATTTAGTTGCAGGTCAGTCACGTCATTCACCGCCTTTAGTGTAGGTGCAAGATGAGTTGTTTCGATGTAAAGATACTTGAATAATACATGAACTATAAACAACTGAAGAGGACTATAATATTCCGTAATAATAGTCCATGTACCAAAGCTCTGCTCAACGCGTACGACGTTATTATACGGCTCACACTGGTGTAAACTGTGAGAATAAAGAAAACTTTAACAAGAGTCTATCGAATCACGATTCCAGCCAAATTCTGGAGTGTCCGAATTTGCTTGCGTTGAAATCTTCTTATTCACCAAATGCAATGTAACTTGCTTGAGTTAAGAAAGAATGAAATTAATCAAAAGTCGACTCCCTGTTTCGAAGAGACCGACATGAAGCAGCATACGAGGAAGTAATAACAAGCGTCAACAGCGTCAACAAGTCTAGTTGAACGCGGTCAGGTTGAGGGAAAACAAATTAACAATGCCTCGCTTGCATAGATAAACATTAAACAGATTCAGGCGCGTACGCAGGATTTTTTCAAGGGGGGGGGGGGGGGGGGGTTAACATTTATAAATCGGGCTGAAAATTTCGCAATGACTCAGCAAGCCGCTGAATAACCGGGGGGGGGGGGGGTATAAGGACATTTTATTTTTTGAGAATTTGACATTTGGCTCCGTTGGGGGAGGGGTAAGGTCACCTTTTTAGGTCAGCCATGGGATTTTTTTTTTTTTTTTTTTTTAATAATTAAAAAAAAAAAAAAAACCAAAGGGGGGGGTTTAGGGGGTAATAGGGGGGGGGGTTTACACACATAAAAATACCAAACGGGGGGGGGGTTAACCCCCCCCCCCCCCCCCCCGTGTACGCGCCTGAACAGATTAGTATATGTGACGGGCTTCAATGTTGCACTGGGGGGGGGGGGAGCGTCTATCAAAGTAGGGGTGCACCGACAAAAAGGGCACTTTCTGCCAACAGAAAGGGGCTCTTACAAAGGCTAATCTCAAAGCGGAAAGAAAACAAGTTACCAGAGATGACACTGACAGACTCGACTACCTTGACAACATTTAGAAAAATAGATAGTCGTAAATAGGCGTAAAATTTTGGTGAACTTGGAACACAGAAGTTAGTACATTGCGATATGTAGAATATTCTGAATATTTATCCTATTAATTGATTTGAGTGAGCATCTTGTGATCCAAGGAACCTGAGGTATTGTTTGATATTTTTATCTTGATGATGTTTGCAGTGTAAATTAAATTCGTAAAAAGGTGGTATGTTATCCTATTAATTGCTTTGAGTAAGGATCTTGTGATCCAAAGAACCTTTGGTATTGTTTGATATTTTGATCTTGATGATGTTTGCAGTGGAAATAAAATTCGTATAAAGGTATTTAATGCGTGATTTGCTTCAGTAGCATTGAGACATACAGACCACTCAACACAATACTTTCTGTCGATGTTTTTTTCAGGCATTATACGAAAACCCCACAAATTATGTCTATCTGGTTTAAACTTTTAAATAAATGAGGGGTGGAGACAAAAATGGGAAAACAGTTTTATATATCAGACACGATGATACCTTCATCTAAATTGTAGTGAACATTAGGATTAAATACGTTATCGATAAGCAATTGTGTGACAAAGGAATGTCGTGTTTCAACTATTTCGCAAGGGACATTGTGAGATATAGCATGCACAAGCTCAGTCACCAATAGCTCACAAGCGTTCATAAAAAAGACAATATGAACTTTAACTGGTTTATTTCAATTTATTGCAAGTATTGTCATTACATGACCAGTAACTTCCCCCTCAAAAAAAAAACAACCCAAAAACCCTTTTTATCACTGAATATCAGCTATCATATTTCATATGGCGCCAAATAATGTATATACACTTTGAAAGATGAAAGAAAGAAAAAATATATAGAAATGAGAGCACAGTTTATACCATTTATTGACACCTTATAAACACGGGAACTCATTTGTGAAGGTGATTACTCAATTACTAATCAAACAATAGTAAAATTTACCTCGTACAATATACAGTTATTAACTGGCAGGGGGTGTAATATAACATTATTTGGACCGCTGAAGGGAGTTATATTTCCCAAGTGGTTTTATTTTCGAGGGAAAATACAATCACGAGGGAAAATATAACTCCCTTCAGGTCCAAAGAATGTTATATACCCCCTGCCAGTCAGCCTTGGCTTGATTTTTTTTTTTGAGGGGGGGGGGGGGGGGTCCATATTTTTTTTGCCCGATTTTTTTTTTCGGGGACATCAACATTTTAGAAAAAGAGATGCAAACAAAAATTGACGGAAAATAATATTTCAAGATAATTCAAGAAAAAAAAAAATTCTTAGAAAATGTGGGGAAAATAATTTCAAGGGGAAAACAAAATTCATGAAAACAAAATATTAAGAAAAAAATGACCCACGGTAATGGTGTAATGTGTGTAATTGGTGACATACAGTCCTCAAGAGGGCGACATGCATTGATTAAAAATATATTCATTTCACCAGCTGGTTAATATAACACTGAAAAGTGACCGGCCAGGAAAATATAACAATTTGGATCCTCACAATTAATATCACGTGACGAGCTCTGGACCAATCACATCTCAGTGTTTGTCTAAGCTATCAAATATATAACAATATATGTATATCTAGAAGAGGAATATATACACCTTGCACGTATATAAAATTGTAAAGAAATACAGAATATAAACAACATTGCCAACTCTCCTGAAATGTTTTCATTGTGAAATTAAATGAGAAAATAATATGTAACGCCTACAAGGCACTGTGTAATATCTAAACACAATTCACTACACTTTTTTTTCAATTCATTAATTTACATTTTATAGTTCTACCATCCATTAAAAAAAAGGCTTGTATATTAGCAATAATTCCCAAAAATATGGCTCATTGATTACAACGCAATGCAGGTGCACTATACTGCTAACATACAGTACTATATCAGTATATCTTCATATCAGTATTACAGTAACACAAATCCATTATAAGTGTCGGCTTGCATGGTGATATAGATATACAGTAGGCTTGCGGGTGCACCACTCCTGACGACGGATAGTCAACCTGTTCGAAACGTCAAGCCACTCATCCTCTTCAAGCGCTATAGTTCTCCTTAGAACTATAAGCTAAGCAAGATAACAGTCCTTTTCAGGACTACACACCCCCAAGAAAGATTACCGAGTCAGAGTCCTTTTCAGGACTCCTCAATCCTCTCTCTCTCTCTCTCTCTCTCTCTCACATGGTGCACCTGCAAGCCTACTGTATAAATCCATTATAGTGTCGGCCTCATTGTTTGGGTTTTCTTTTCACAATCACGTAGCTTTTTATATCAGTTACTTAAACTTGTTATGTAAACAAATATGTATTCGTAAAAGAATTCATATGGCTCCAGACTGCAGATTTTGAAGGTCTCTATTCACGTGAAGACATATGCCAGACAAAACGTCAATTCATCGACCCCCCCCCCCCCAAAAAAAAAAAAAAAAAAAAAATCACATTTGCTTGCACAGTATATGATAACTCAATTCAATTCATTCCATTACAGGTTTTATTATTTGTTTGTATATATTGTTCAACTGTGAGTAGTGCAGGTATCAACAGATAATTGTTGACAGCTGGTCACAGCAGTCCCTGTAATCATAAGGTTGAATTTTGCACATTTACAACAATTTCTCAATATCATTTCAAATTACATATTGTACCATCAAAAAATTATTTAAAATCAAATGACAACTAAAAATACATTGCTTGAGAAACTGTACAATGTCTTATTTGTTTCGGTTAAATCTTTGCATTTTGTTTAGTAGAAATTTCTTACGATGGGTAATTTATTTTGTTATCATTTTCTGGTTTTGACTTTTAAATGTTGTTGGAGTTCTGATAACTTCCTGACTTTAAGATAAAGGGCGATATATGCATTCCATCGGGATTTATGCAGGGACGGGTAAGCTTTCGCGCCAGCCCTTCTGTAACTGATAGCTGAGTTGCTTAACGATGTCCTTAAACTGTGGATCAGCAGCAACATTTTGGTTTTGATCATAGTCCAAGCCATTGAAGTAAAGTTCTGTAGCCTTTACATCAGTCCAGTTACCTTGGAAGGTTTTTGGATTGAATCCTATCCATTCGGTGTAATGGTGATCCTTGGTCCTCATAGAGTACCCCATGACAGTAATGTCACCCAGACTAGGGAGATCAGTCTTTTTGTTTGGGATTACCCCTGGACGAGGATACTGACTGAATGTGGCATTCTTCCATCTGCTGTACCGCTTTGAAGTCAACTTCTCCATGCCATCTTTCTGCAGAATGGCGTTGGAGCCTTGGACTGGCTCCAGAAGAGGGGCGAAACTGTACCCCTCGGAACATAAGGTGACATTGAAAGGCTCTGGAGGACATACAGGTGGAACAGTGATGCCAGCGAGATCAGAGAGGGTGGGGAACAGATCAACAAGTTCTACAAACTCAGCAACAACCATTCCACTGGCAGCAGACAGTTTCACATTGTCTTGAGATTGAATCATCTTTAGAGAATTTTGAAGTTGATTTTTGATTGGCGATGACCTCGGCTTGTCTGTGACACCAGGAATGTGAACGATCAAAGGAACTCTTGTTGCCAGTTCATAGTTAGAGTACTTGCACCATTCTGCATGCTCACCTAATTGCCATCCTAAGAGGTAGAAAAACAAAAGGTTATTTTCAATCCGGGAGGAGTACATGAACACAGGCGAAGAAGATATGTTCCCAGAAATCTCTGCCTTTGCAATAATTTAATAATTGTATGAATTATGACTACACTTTGGAAGGTAATAGGGGTGTGGTATGCCGCCTCTGTATCATTCAGGGTTATTTCCTCCAAACAAAAATATATTCTATTTTTACGTATATCAACGTAGCTCTGAATTAAACAAACGTTTATCTAATGGAAATTATATATGCCATCAAAAGTATTACATGTATTATAAACAACAATAATAACACGGTTTATGCAAGGTCAAGAAATGAAGCCATCATACACGCCATAAACATGCTTTATTAATAACTTATCTAATACCAACAAATTACAAAAGAGTATTTTTAAAAGAAAGGCAAAAGGGGTACATGAAATAGAGACTGAGAGTGGGAGAAAGGGGGAGGGATCTTTGAAGAATTTAACATACCATGATCCCCAAAGAGAACGACGATGGTATTGTTTGAGAAGCCAGTTTCATCAAGGGTTTGAAGTAGTTTTCCCACCAAGGAATCTGTATAGGATGCAGCAGCATAGTAGCTCTGTCTCATCGGAGCCTGTCCGAAAATTAAAGGGAAAAAATGCTTAAGTGAACATGACAAATACACGATTATAATAAAAAGGTGGCCATGTTAAGTTTTCCTTTCCATGCAGGACCATGATTTCGGGAATTTAGAAAATATAGACCCACTGACCAGATTTAATTTGAAAATGAGCTCATAACATTTCTCCTTTTCAAATATTAAATGTTTTGACCACTACTTATAACACTGTCTTTATTCTTTCTTTCTGCTTTCTTTCTTGTTGTTGTAGTTCATGCCTCTCTCTCTCTCTCTCTCTCTCTGAGTGTTGGGGATGGGCTGTCTGTTTCATGCAGTCCCCCGAGTTCACCAATTGAAAATAAAACATATTTTTAATATGTTTAGTGTAAACCCATTAATTCGGCCAAAATGTCATGCATTGCTGCTAAGTAACGCTAAAGACTAAATCTAAAATTAAATTCAATGTTTTTGTTAGATCAAGGGATTATCTTACATGGAATTTAAGTGGTATTGTTCCAAAGGGGAAGCTCATATTCATAGCCTTCACATCTTCTCTATAAGTTCTCATAGTGTAATAATCCTCATAGGCGACATCCGGCTGGGTTGGAGACCGGTATGGATTGGTTGCAATAGAAACCGACTCGATCGGGTACAACGATTTGAATTCCTCTGGGTACTTCCACGGAATGTGCGGTTTGTGAAATCCAACGGCCAAGAAAAAGGGCGGTTGCATGTCCTGAGATGACTGACCGGTTTCAATCGGTTTGCCTTGCTTGTTTGTTGGATGGAGGGCTACGGATAGGTTCTTCAGGATAGATGAGGAGAATTCTAGAGACTGGATATCCGGGAGTGATTTTTGTGGCATGACACTTACGTTGACTGGACACATGACGTTATTGTGAAGCGTGCCATCCAAAGTGGGACACACCTATCAAAAGAAAATAGAATAATATAAGAGAGTATATATATGTATATATATATACATATATATATATATATATATATATATATACACACATGTATATACATGGATATACATTTTTGCATAGATATAGATATATATAGGCCCTAATCAATAATTGTTTTGGTAACCACGAAATGTATAAAAATATTAATACTATTGTATAATAATACTAATATTCTGATCACCCACAAGCATTAATTGTCATTCCTGAGGAATGGGGAAGGTCCCCGAAAAGTTGGAAAGAATATTATGAAGTTGGCATAAAATGTAATCTTCAGAATGTGATCTCTATACTTTCGAACACTGCCAACACGTGGATGAATCAACATAATTATAGGCCCTAAGATATAGCCTACCCATCTGGCCTACCCTCCCCCCTCCCTCCCCTTTTTTAATTTTTTTTTTATTACGGTATATCGGCAACGCCACTGCCTTCCGAAGGTATAGGCCATATACAAAACTTTCTTCTTTTCTCACACCCAAAATCAATAATTTGGCCATGAAATGGCGTACCTCGATCCAAACAAGATCTGTACTAACCTTGGCCCCGGTGTATTGTTCTGTCGGTGGATGGTAAGGAGGAACAGACCAGCTGTATGGATAGTCATCGTGACCACCACTTGTTACACCTTGTCAAACCAAACAGAAATTATCCAAGGTCATATTATGAATCTTGAACACATTGTCCGATATAAAATAGCATTGGAATTACAAAGAAGAAAAAAAATCAATTTATGAAAAGAAATGAGTTACATTGTGCTTTACACATACGAATGTTTGAAAATTAGGCCTACATTATTAAAAGATGAAGTAATAATTTCCAAATCCTTACTAAACCTGTAGTTCCGCTTTCATATCAGCCATATTTTAATTTGTATCACGTTAGTTACTACGTCTCGGTAATAATTTTGTTTACTATTATGTTTTCAATTATCTCCCCTAATGTACCGCGCAAAGAGAAGGAAGAAAATGCTTCAGTGATGCTTGCCATATGTTCTTTATAGATTTGAAATAATCTTCTTCTTCATCTTCTTCATCCTCTTCTTCTTCATCATCTTCTTCATAAATCTTCTTTTTCTTCTTCTTCTTCTTCTTCTTCTTCTTCTTCTTCTTCTTCTTCTTCTTCTTCTTTTCTTCTTTTCTTCTTCTTCTTCTTCTTCTTCTTCTTCTTCTTCTTCTTCTTCTTCTAATCATTACCATTATCATCATCAGCAGCAGCAGCAGCAGCAGCAGCAGCAGCATCATCATCATATTAGTTGTTGTTACTGTTTGTGGAGGAAAAGTACCAAGCCAATTTGTAAAACCTCCGGTAAAGGAATTCATATAATGTATGTGTTATGAGGCTTATTAATTGACGATACCTGGATGAAAAACCTTTCCTACTGACGCTGTGAAGTATCCGTTCTCTTTGAAGTGCTGTGGCAGGGTTGTATAATTGCCTGCATGTCTCCTCCAGTAAGACCCGAAGTCATAGAGGCGAGTGGTGTCGGGACGACGCCCCGTCAGGAACGATGTTCGACTGGGGGCACACACCGATTGCTAGAGAGTAGAGAGAGAGAGAGAAAAAAAGAGAAATTTGAAATAAAGCTTGGTCTTAAGTCTTCCCTCAAAAAATAAAGAAACTAAAAACCATGGATGTCAAGGGGCCAACAGCCGCACCCCCCCCCCCTCTTTCGTTGAGGGAAAAATGAAATACCACCTCTTAAGTTAGTCCTTATTTTTGTGATTATTTTTTCTCCAGTACCCCCCCCCCCCCCCCCCCCCCCTCACCCTCTCCCACCCTTTTATCACTGAATGAGCCTTAAAATAAGGGCCGGCGAGATTCTCGAAATCATGCTCTCAGGCAAAAAAAAATAATAGGAGACTGCGAACTTGCGATTGATTGGAGGACTTGCGATTGATTCGGATCAATCGAAACTCTTTATAATTATGACGGGTCCCAGATTAAAATGAACAGCGGTTAAAGATAAACTTTAGTACTGGTAATGCGATTGCATTGTGAAAGAAAAGGTGTGGAAAGGATCAGAAACAGTTGATCATGTAGCATGTAAGTATTGGTGTGCACTGCAAGGTTCTGGAGTCATCAAAATAATAATAAATTTGACCGAGTAAAGTAACAAGCACTGTACACAGAAAGCTATATATGGGACATCACACATGGTGTCGGGGCTAGTACTACCTTGATTTCCTTGTCTTTCTATGCTCATTACTCAGCCAGTATACATTTTATTCCAAAATTGTTTGGCACATGTCATTTATTTGTAATCTTGAACATTCAGTGTAAGTTTCGTTTGATTCTGTGAGAATTTATTTATTTATTTTTTACCAGAACTGGAGTTTATCTTTAAACTTCTAATCTTCAATCCTTTTTAACCTCAACAAAAATGTCAAAATGGAGGACAGCATTTAAAACTTTTAATTTTATTATTTGACTTTATTGTCTCATTTCCTTTCGCCATAAATTATATAAAATAAATGTACATGTGAATAATATCCGTGTGATGGAAGATAATAATTATATAAAATAAAACGAAAAATCCTTGCGAGTTTCACCTTTGTAATATAAGTTAATGCATGAATCTCGCAAGGATTCCTCTTTTGACTGCATAATAATGGGCACTATAATAGCGCTCATATCCGTCACGCCAAAGAAACTATACCGCTCAGTCATAAGGCCAAAAAAAAAAAAAAAAAACATGTTTAGCGTCCTGTTTTTTTTTGAGAAATAGGAAGGAGGAAGCCCTTTTTTTTTCTTTCAAAAAGGCCGCTCGGTACATTTTCCCCGACATTCGGGCTTTTTTTCAAATTGGCCGCCGACTCTTTTTTTTCTTTTTTTAAAATCAGAAATAGATCCATTTTAGCAGTGTTTTTCATGTTTTTTCCTTTAAAAAAAAAATTCAAAAAAAAAAATTCAAAAAATAAATAGGAGGCGGCCCCCAAAAGGGAAGCGGGCGGGGACGCTAAACATGTATATTTGTTTAAATGGCCTAATATCAGGTACCCATTTACACCTGGATGGAGAGGGGCAAATGTATGTATTAACGTCCTGCCAAAGGACGTTATCGGGCTTCACTATGAACATGACGGACATAGAAAGCGGACAAAATATACAGTTCCTCAGGTAGACAAAGGAACAATTCCCTTCACTGCTATTATGTAAAAATGTGTAGAACAGGTGAATATGCATGTGACACCTGTCCTACACATTTTTACATAATAGCAGTGAAGGGAATTGTTCCTTTGTCTACCTGAGGAACTGTATATTTTGTCTGCTTTCTATGTCCGTCATGTTCATAGTGCTTGTACGTACATTGCATAATAAACACAAACCATTATTAACAATTTGTATTGATGAAATATTGATTACGATCCATATATGTTGGGAGTCTTGAAGCAATGAATGCAGTGTTTAAGGGTTCAAGGTTACTGAACGATATAGGGTTAGAATCAAGACAGTTTACATCAAATTCCGTTGACTTAGGAAGCTTCTAACATCAAAGTTGATTATAAGTTGTAAACCCCATTTGTCCTTACCTGCACCATGGCGTTGGTGAAGAGAGCAGATTTGGATGCAAGTTGATCGATGTTTGGTGATATGATGGGACCCCCATAGCATCCAAGGGATGCTCGTAAATCATCTATCACGATGAACAGAACATTCGGTTTCTCTGACAAAGCTGTAACCATAACAAAAAAAATAAAATAAGATTGGCCTGATTAATTTGGTGATAATGAAAGCATAGGTCTAATGTGTTAAGTCTATTAGAAATGATGGGTATTGTCTAAGGCTGAGATTATAATAGTGTGTTACTTCAAATGATAAAATAATGTAATCATAACAATAATAATAACAATATAATAACAATTAAAATACTCCACTACTTATAATAATAACAATATTAATAATAATGATAATTATTTAAAAAAAAACAATGATAAAATATCGGTCCGACAACTTCTAATCTGATCAATTTAAAGATCAACATCCCCTGTGGACCTAGCTATTCCTTATTGAAGAACAGCAAAGGCGAACGCGATTATATACAGCCCACCTGATAAATCAGTCATGTGATAACATGTATAAACGGTTGTGTTGTTACGATTGGATAGTGGAGGCCATTGACAATGTGTATACTCTCTCTCTCTCTCCCTCGATCTGTCCGTCTTTGTGCGTTTCTCTCTGTCTCTCTCTCTCTCTCTCTCTCTCCATCACCCACCCACATGCACACAACCCTCGATCTCTTTTCTCTGGTCTCTCTCCAGCTCTCTCTCTCTCTCTCTCTCTCCCACACTCACTGTATACTCACACACTCGATCCTTCCATTCCTTGAATTTCTACTCCTTTTCTTTGCCCACTCTCCCTTAATTGCTCTGCCGTGTAGGCCTACGTACAGTCAGTCGTACAATATACCTTTTTAGCAGGTATATCTGCATTACATAATGTTTCAGATCATAGGTCATCACACCAAAAAACAACGACAAAAAATGCATTCATCTAGCTGCATGTCTGCTTATCATTCTCGATGTGACATTCCCGGCCATGGTATAACTTTAAATCATAAACTAGATACTGAAAATACATGATTCCTACCTGAGTTGGAAGAGACGTGAAGCAGAACACACAAAATAGCCACGATATTCTTCATAGTTCCTTCAACAATTAGAGTATGACCGCAAACAGAACCGTTTGTTGGAGCAGGCTATATTTATTATGGAGCGCCGCGCCAGGAAATCTGACACTCTGATCGACATACAAGAACCCACTATTGCCTGCTCAGTGTGTATACAAGCTACCGTAGCTTGGTTATGCAACATTATGCATATGAGATGCGCTCTTGAATACTTTTGTCTCCATGGTTGAGTGATTCAGAAAGAGCAAACAGAAATCAATTTTCGAAGCGTCTTATCCGGGGGCGGATCCAGTGAGGCGTAAAATATCCACAAAAAATGTTCAGTTTACTCATTCAGAAATGCTCCGAAATGTACCATAGCCAGTGGCGGATTCAGGGGGCACAGGGGCACTTGCCCCCCCCCCCCCCCCCTGGTAAAAAAGGGGGAAGGGGGGATGGGGAAAGAAAAGGAGAAAAAAGCGATCGAGGGAAAGAAAAAGGAGGGGAAAAAGAAAGAAAAGGTAAGAAAGAGAAAAAAGAAAAAGAGGAAGGAGAGGAAAGAAAGGAAAGGAAAGAAAAGAAATGGGGCGAAAGAGAGGGGGAGAGAGGGGGTAAGGGCCTGAGAGAAGAGGGGTGGGAGTAGGAGAGTGAGGGGGATGCTGGGAGGAGTCACCACGTCGAGGGAGCAAGAAAGATACGCATGATAATTATGTTGCTGTGTCGGATCCGCAGTGTCGATAATCTTGCTCGATCCTCATGTGCTATATCAATGCAGAAGCTTGAAGTCGGTGAGATGTATTATGTCGGTCGGCTGGCAATTTTCTTTTCCCTTCAAACTGACTTTTTATCGGACAAAGGAACATTTTGAAGATTCAAACTATGATTAAAGGTTTATGGTCATGCGATTGCATTGTGAAAGAAACGTTTTGGAATCGATCGGAAAAGGTTGATCATCTAGCATCTATCATCTGCAAGGTTCTGGAATCATCAAAATGATAAGAAATTTGGCCCATTCTTCGTAAAGTTACAAGCACTATACACAGAAAGATGTATATGGGACTACCCTATATCTCTCACAGACCATGAGAGAAACAAATTTACCAAATATATGAATTAGTAGGCGGTTTCCCGGCAAATTTTTTATCATCATGTATTAAGAGTCGAAAACAGTACAACGAATCGTCGTTTTTCTCTAATAATTTAATGAAAAGTCAAAGCTTTCGCGCTTCGCGCAGGAGTGGGTAAACTGAATTCAGACAAGGATCAAGAGTCGAGAACGGTATAACGAATCGTCTTCTTTCTCTAAAAATTTCGCGCGGGAGGGTGGAGGGGACACTTAAAAATAATTTTAATCCTGGCCCCTGGTTTATAGGGTTAAATTTGTAGATATTGGGACATTGGCATTAATATATTTGTCGGTAATTGGGGGCTAGTTTTGTCGGTAATCGGTGGCCTCTACACCCCCCCCCCCCCCCAACTGAAAAAGGTCTGGCGACGCCCCTGCTCACAACACGCACATACACACAGACACAAACCCTCGCCCACATCACCACACAAACACTAGTTTACAAAGTTAATGCATACTTGAACAAAACTGAAACTAAAATAATATTTTTTACCGATTACATCGTGAATTGTTTATTTTGCATTACTACACGAATTTCATTTTTGAAAGTTACATTCATTGAGATAGCGTAACACACGATTACTCATTGAACTGTCGATAAGTTTGAATAGGCCAATTTCATTCTATATATTCAAATAATTATAACCTCATCTCTCCTCTCTTTAGCGCAAGTACAATGTATTCATAAAAGACCTTAGTCCCTCGATGCGCACATGATATATGAAGCACCACGTATCACCTAATTTAATTTGATAAAATCATGAACTAAAAATAAGAAATGTATTTCATGATGACATGATTTATGTTAATTTGTTCAGTGAATTTTTTGTGCGGGATAAACATGTACAGATTGAAACATTATGCTCCGTAAATCAAGTACAGGTTTATGACAACCAGATATATTCAGCTGCTTTAAAAAGAAGAAGAAAATCTTGGCAAATCTGTACCTTTTTACCTCCAAATGTCTAAATATTCCTAAATATACCAACTTGGTTATTGCTAGGACGCAGAGGGCACTATGTCCACAAAGCTTCCATAGAATCGAAATACTGTACATGTACAGTGTATAATACGAAATTGGCCTATTGTGACGCAATTATTGTGCAATGCATTATGGTACATCTTACAACATTTACTGAAGATCTGTAATAGACCAGTTCACACATGTCTTCAAATTCAATGTATACCCTTGATAGAGGATTGTCCAACATAGCATCAACTGATGCATGCAAGCTGTATTTAAGAATGCAATAGCTCGTCACCAGTATCTTGTGGGTTGAAGTTGAATTTCATGAAATTTGAAACCATAATGTGCACTGGTCTACTTGATAGAATGGTGACTGAACTAAACAGGCAAAATAAAAATAAACGATGAAAATGAAATCAATTTTCTTAAAAGGAGAATCACACACGATATGCTCAAGTAGAGAATATGATGTATCTAGGCGATGTGAGTGTTATTTGGCTATCCAGCTTACACTCATAAAAATGGATTTGGTCTGAACTCGAGACTAATCTGATGTGATGTTGGCGTGAATATCTCAATGGGATAATAAGGATCATAATAACTTATCCAATAACAACAACAACAACATCATTGCCCAAAACAAGTTGGTCTCGTAGGCGTTCATGCTTTCCTTGTTAATGCTCTCGATTCGGTGTGGATGTCCAATTTCATTCCTGTATAAACAGAACTTGAGATCAAACTTCTCATATACATTAACCCCTCAAAATATAGTTTGGAAACTCAAGTTTGTTCAATTATTCTCTTGTCATTCGACAATTATCGTTTTGTTTAGTATCGTTTAAAACTATGTTTATTCGTCTTTAAAATGATACCAATTTTGTTATGACTTTGTCGCCATAGAATGGGTAGTATTAGAATCATTTTCATTAGAATAAGGAGCAGCACTATACACTCTTCAATTTTGACCCTGCCCCTTATTGCGATGTAATGCATATTCCATGACTGAAAAATCATAACAAATAGGGTATCATTTTAAACAGAAATAAGTACATTTCCAAATAATAAAAAATATAACGATGATTCTGCCACAAGAAATAAGACATACTCGATCAAACTTGAGTTTGCTAACTTTTTTAGAGGGTAATGTAGATTTTGTTTTGGTCAGAAACCCGCTTTGAGAACTTATGATACCTGTGACCGCAAGTGGTTCGTGAAATGAGATTACCTATCGCCATCTATCACGTTTATACCGATGTAATACATGACAGAATGATGGGTTGGTAGTGGCAGGGGGGGGGGGTGACACAACTGGTCCATGCCCCCACCTTTTACCAGAAGTACCTAACAAAACTGTCCTTAATTATATCATTTTCATCATGTTGTGTGCTCCGTTACAATTCCCGGATCCATCCCTGACTATCATCTGAAACGAACCTACATCAGACTAGTCTCGATATTTCAGACCAAATCTTAAATTCGTTAAAAGCCCTGATACAAGACCATCATACTGCAATATGAGCGAAAAGTATGAAACTCATAGAATATATATAAAAATATAAAATCTATATTTCGTGAAGACCCAATGCTTTACTTTTCAATATTTACAAACAGACACATATAGCAAGATACGAATACAATACGCATTATAGTCAAGTTATACATTATCTACAAAATAAAAAACAACAAGACTGCTAGAAAAGTAACACTTAACGTCCTTAGGAAAAGTTACCCTGTGTGTATGTAATTAACAGATTTGTGCTCTCAGCTTGGGCATAACACTGTGTACGTACTTTAAATCCCGTTTATCATCAAAAAACTTTCTCCCTTTTCTGGAATACTTGAGAGCGACGTAGAGTACTGATAATTACAAAGGGTAAAAGGAAGGACAGAATGTGATCAATTGAACTTTTAGAGCTATTACATGACGGAAAAAAGAGAAGCGTTTAAGAGCTATTAATATATGATTTTCATCTGTTGATACATGACTTCTTACAGCAAATCATTCTATCATAAATTATAAAATTATAAGATTTAATCCTCTAAAGTGGTAAGTTATTAATTTGGCAAGTTATTTTGTTATAGTCTAAATCATTAAGAATTAAGAAGAGAATTTAACAATTTGATGAATATCTATAATTCAACTTTCGATTTGCAAACATTTTTCTGGGGAAAATGTATTTCCCTTTGACAAAATGAGTTGTATTCTATCGAAACATTTGAATGTTTTCTTTAGCAAAGGAGATAAACCAAACTTTGGCACCTAGTACAAGAATTCATCTATAAAGAAAGTATTATCAACAATATCACTGTTGTAATACAATCATCGAAACAAACAATGATGTAATTACCTACTCAGCGAAACACAATATGCATAATTTATCATACCGGTATACATTAAACTACACCAATCTGTGTGAATGTGTGATGTTTGACAAGTTTTAAAATTTGCCAAGCATCAGCTCACTAAAGATGAGTTGTATTATTATTCGCTATGAACAAACATCTATATACATCACTTTAAAAGACGCAATGACTATTACAATTATTATATAATTGTACATTTAAAATGTACATATACAAGATGAAAGACAAAGTATATTCATTTCTTTATATACACACACGCACACACACGCGCGCACACACAATAAAGTATTACAAATTAATACACCCCAAACCCCACATGGTTAAAAACAAACGAGTATAATGTATAGGCCTAATGATCGTAAAGCAAAACATAAAATTGATTATTGAAGTACTTTTAAATAATAAAGGCAAATATCACTTCACAAATCTGTATATTCCACTTTGAACAATCGTCAAATTAAAAAGATAAAATGTTTTATCAAAATACAAAAATGCATGCTATTAGTTACTACATGAATGTTAGAATAATAGTCACAATTGTCGTAAGATCAAAATCCATCAACATAATTATTTTCAAAATCTCTTTTTTTTTCTTTCAATAGTATCTGATGGGCCTTTTTTCACAATTCATTATTCAATAAATTTTCTTTACACGGCATTGTTTTATAGTGAATTATGTCGTCTTTCTATTTCCGTCTTTCTATTTCTACAATTGCTAATGTTTAACACGATATGTTTTAAGGTCTAACAGACGCAGTACAATAAAGATAGAATAGGGACAGTTTCAAATGATTATGAAAAGAAGGAGAATAAGAAGAAGGAGAAGGAGGGAAGAATAACAACAACAAAAGAAAGAAGGCGGACTGCTCAAAGTGGAGTACGAGATTTCTGAAGTTGAAACATAACATGAAGGCTAAACGACGAAAACGTATCGAAAAATAATGATATTCAGATAACAATTTCATGTGCGGCAATATATACAGACAAAGTCGGCCCAAAACAAGACACTTTTGCATAGAATAGATTCAGGTACTCGAACAAGCAAATAACACCCTGTTAAAAAAATAATATGAATAGTGATCAATCGCTAGACATCACAGAATTGTTAGCATCTTTGATGTAAGTGAGGTAGGTTGGAAAAAGCAACTGTATTCATTATTTTCTTGTCGATAACAGATGCTAATTTGACATCGATCTATGTAGACATGAATCATCTACATTTTAATTGAGATATCGACTAAACTAGTAGACCTACTACTACTACCCTAGCTTTTAAAGTAACATTTCTTTTAAATCCGAGTATAGTTGGCGCCTCCATACCGTTGGTGGCACTATTTCACACCAGAGACACCTCTATACACAGAGTTTGGCCAACTAAGGTTCAGTTGTTCATAACATGGCGTGTATTCCTTTGTTTTGTGCTTGCCCAACGAAGCAGTATTAGCCATATGGGGGCCGGTTTCACGAAACCGTCATGAGTCCAAGTTTGTAGACAACTAGACGACATCCCATATATACGCATGTTAATTCTATAATACACGTTACAATGGAATGTCCTAGAAGTTAGAATTATGACGGTTTCAAGAAATGGCCCCCTGGTGCCCAACTCGATCCGGGTCAATGCCTCTATTACACACCAGGGGCCCGTTTCATAAAACTTGTTATCTATAACAACTGCTAAATTTCTATGACAAATTTGCTCTCAGCCAATCAGATGCCATGATTTCAGTAGCTTATAACAGTAGCTTGTAACTTGTTATTGATATCACGTTTCATGAAACAGGGCCCAGAGCCATCTATACACAGTTCTAGGTTTTGGGGATGTTTTTCTCTTTACAATATCACCAATACTGCTTCATTGGACAGGCACACAACAAATGAATATACGCCATCTTGTGACCAACTGAAACCAAGTTGGCCAAACTCTGCCTATAGGCGGATCATTTTTCACACACCCAAATTTTAGCTTCTCCAAATTTGCGCAGAAATTTGCAAGGTGAATGTACATGTTCTCACGAACAAAGTCTTGTAACCATGTCAACATCTTTTCGTTGTTGTTTCTTTTCTGTAATTCAATACCCTTCTTTCTTTTTTTTTGTTAATAAAAATGCGATTAAACAATCATTAATTTTAAAAAGTGCGCACTATTAAAACTAATTATACCTCCATTTCAATTACAAATAATGTACTGGAAACAGCTAAACTGTTATCACTAATTATATTCAGTCATTCTTTTCCATTAGATTTCCTTGCAAACAGCAAATGTTGTTAGCATTCCAATACTTCGTAAATACATGATTCGACGACATTTTATATTTGACACACTTTCTTTCCCATTTCACTTTGCTGAGTCCATTTTCAGCTGCTTTATTTTGACAGCAGCATAAAAGGTCGAATGTCCGTATTCATAAAGACGGATTATCAGTTAAACCGTGATTAATTTCATCCACTTATGTATGGAATACCAAAATGTAAACATCTACGTTTGTTACAAATTAATGTGAATAAAAAGCAATGAACTATATGTCACAAAATGACAATGATAAATTGATTTCATGATTACGGTGGTCTGTATTCATTCATTCAAGATAGGGTCATTGATGATTATTGAGATTCAGCGCTCCATAATATAGGAGATTAGATTAATACTAGATTAATTAACCCCGGTTTAATCTAAATCGTTTTTAATGAATACAAGCCGTATCACTGACACACCAAACGCAGCATTATATAGATGTCAAGTCCATAATATTGTGTAGTTACTATCTCTTGCTCTCTTCCTTTCAGCTGTGCCATTCTTTATGTTATTTCTATTCAGAAGCATTGCATTAAAGAGAAGGTTGAGTTCTGGGAAGAGGTGAAAAATAATTTGTGAGCGTTATCATTCTTATTATGCAAGTGTGGAAGAACATCAGATAAGACATGTTCCCTGAAAAGCATGGCTCTTCAAATGCCTTCATACTCTAAATATGGTATGTAACATCGTAAAACTCGGGGTGGGATTTTTACGCCACGTGTTCGTGTAGTCCCATATACAAATTTCTGTGTACAGTGTTTGTAACTTTACCAAGACTTGGCCAAATTTCTTATCATTTTGATGATTCCAGAACCTTGCAAAGTTGCAATACAAACAAATTCTAATATGCTAGATGATCAACCTTTTCTGGTCGATTTCACACCGTTTCTTTCACAATGCAATCGCATGACCAGAACTCAACTTCGTCTTTAATACCATCATTATTCTTATCAGTAATGTTATTATTACAACTATTATCATCATTAAAATAATTATTATCAATACTATTACGATCATTATCATCATCATCATCATCATCATCATCATTTATCTTTCTTAGATTGGGTAGCAGTCAGACATCTTAAGAGTATTTCCTCAACCAATAATTGCTGCTTAGAAATAACGTGAAAGTTAATTTATATCAATGTATGGGCTGTTCCCCTCAAAAATTTTGCATTCCTCAGTGAAAAAGCTTGTTTATCATGACAAGAAGTTGTGTTCTATTTTGACATGGTACCTTGAAACCCTCATAAGCAGAAATAAAGTCTACAATATCGATGGCCGTTTAGAATTGAACGCCAGTAGATTAATAGAAACAGCAAAGTAAACCAGCACCTTTGAAAATGTTAAAATATCTATTAAAAAGTGTTTTCCATACAAAAACAATGCGCGACAAGAAACCCGAAACACCTTAATAAGAAAGTGATTCTGTCACATTATGTTTTCCAAAGCAAGACGTAGATTGAGTTTTATATAACTGAGTTGTTTTGAGATCAATTCGATAAACAATGTTTTTTGTGCTTTATACAGCGCCCACACACGTTTTTTTTAAGGAGTAGCTAAAAGCGTTAATAGTGAACTTGTTTAGTAGCCATATAGTTAAAAAGGGGTTAACATAGCCTATCAAGAAATAAGAGATAAGGGGGCGACCCCTTCCCGGATGAAGAAGTCAGAATATATAAGGAAGGCCCGCGAACCCTCGACCTATCGCATAATTATGTAGTATGAATCCTGTCTGCGGGCTATATGCCAGTGTTGATAGGTATTCTGTTGTGAACGAACGTCTTTCCTCTCTCTCTCTCTCTCTCTCTCTCTCTCTTAAAAAACGAAGTCTTTTTCAACTTCGTAAAGGCGACCAGTTTGATTAGTGATTACATTTTCAATTGTGTAAATCACGATACGACCATCGTCAACTTCGTCAATCCCAACCCATTCGGAAACACTCGGAAAACATTCGGAAACATTCAGAAACACTCGGCCACTCTCGAATCTCGAGTCGAGAACTTTTGAAATCTCACAAAATGACTTACATCCGGGTTCTAATCCTCACGAAAGGCACCTCTATAACCTTCTTCATATTCGGAAACAATATTCACTATATTAGCTTGTAGACTGAGTGCGTTGCGCCGGAGAAACATCAGCATACATACTTCGAATGCTCATTTTTTCCTTCGATTCATTCGGCGTGCGATTCACTGTACTCGGAATGTTTCGGAATGTTTCGTTGACTATCGGCGTATGAACCTGAGCCTGTATTTGTCAGGGAGGAGCATCATGCCTTTGACTCGGCCTCGGATGTCGGGGATCGGGTCACCTTCGGGAAAGACGAGGTTGTACCGATGTAGCAGGATGGCCATGATCAGGAAACACTCCTGCTGGGCCATGGGTTCACCAGGGCACTTCCGGGGACCTGCGAAATAAAATAAATTGCCAATAACTTTGTTACGATTTGTTCTTTTCGTCCTATTTGTAATAGGTTCCTCAAATTCTACTTAATCTATTATATGAATTGAGAATCATTGAGACATGTTTATTTATACTACATGTATTGTATAGTTTTTATATGTATGTCTATATTTTGTGTAAAATGTGAAACAATAACAACTTGAAACTTGAAGTTGAAAACTTGAAAACATGACGTCTCTTGCCCAGATATTAACTTACCAGTTTCTAAATTTGATCGCGAAAAATTCACTGTTGGTGAATTGTGTGTCCATTTTATAACACTTAATGTATTTCACTTGTTGAAGTTATTATATTAGAATACATATAAAGTGAGCCTAGTGAGACTTGGTGAACGTATACAAATCAGACTGAAGGAAATTGATGAACAACTGCTGTAAAAGTGTTTTATGTCACATTACAGATTTTTTCCCTCAAATTTATCAAGCTCCTTTTCTTCAAGAATGATTCGATAAAATTTCATCGGGAAATCTCCGACATACAAGGCCCCTGTTGAGAGTTCTATATCTTACCTATGCCGAACGACTTGACGTCAGAAAGACCTTGTAAGCTGCCGTCTTCTGCTAAGAACCTTGATGGGCGGAATACATAGGGATCTTCAAAAACTTCCGGGTCATGATTTAAACTCCACAGATTCCCCAGAACCTAAAAAAGTGAAAAGCACATTCCAACTGGTTAATCACACACACACTAGAAGTCGGCAGATTATAATAAAAAACATTATGCTTTTAAACATTCTAGGAGATATGTTAACGTGTTTGGAAGGTCACACAGATGCAGTGGCGTACGCAGGATTTTTTTCAAGGGGGGGGGGGGGTTTAACATTTTGAAATCGGGCCGAAAATTTCGCAACGACTCAGCCAGCCGCTGAATAAGCGGGGGGGGGGGGGGGATGGGTAAGAGGACACTTTTTTAGGTCAGCCATTTGCATTTATTTTTTTATTTTTTTTTAAATCCGCAAAAGAAAACACATAAAAAAAACCAAAGGGGGGGGGGTTTAACCCCCTAACCCCCCCCCCCCCCCTGCGTACGCGCCTGCACAGATGAAACCATTTAAAACACTTTTCGCGTAAGTTACTGTGCATGATTTCGTTTTAAAAGTGGATAAGAAATGAGAAGTGCTGCTGACTTTTATAGACAAAAAATACCTGCCGCCCCCACCCTTCCATATAGTCCTGCAGGATGGCCAACAAACAAAACTTCAAACATGTAAAATTGAAACTTGGAGAGATTATGTACTAATTTGTGCAAAGTGTAAAGTCTCTTATGGTCGGGGCCTAGGGCTTGCTTTACAAAAGCTTAAGGGTTCTTACACTGCACTCTGGTGCCATCTGAGCGATATTCAGAAATAAATTTGATTTGGGAAGAATTTTAACCTGTCTCTGATTTCCAAACCTGTTACTGAATAGTTCAAACCTGTCGCTGATTTTTCAAACATGTAATTTGGAATTTCAAACCTACTACATATTAAAGGTAAAGACCAGTTATGGTCATGCGATTGCATTGTGAAAGAAACGTTGTGGAATCGATCAGGAAAGGTTGATCATCTAGCATCTAGCATCTGCAAGGTTCTGGAAACATCAAAATAAAAAGAAATTTGGCCCATTCTTCGTAAAGTTACAAGCACTATACACAGAAAGATGTATATGGGACTACCCTATATCTCGCACGGACCAACAGAAGAACAGCCTTTGGCTGAAGTTGGTGCCGTGCAAAAATAAAATAAACTGAACTGAACTGAACTGAACTGAACCATGAGAGAAACAAATTTACCAAATATATGAATTAGTAAGCGGTTTCCCGGCAATTTTTTATCATCATGTATTAGTCAAAAAATATTCTTTCACATGATTGGTAATCAGAGCTTCCATTTCATTTTTTGAAATTGGGGCGTTTCCAATACTGGTCTTTACCTTTAAAGTTGCTCAAGCATGGACATATAGAGGGCAGCACACAGACGTACGCACATGAGCGTAATACCTATTGGCTCAGTGTTATAGTGATTGGAAGTGATCGCCAAGTTGCCTACTTCACGAATGACTATATACCCACGCATGAACATCTTTTAAATCACTTGTGGACCACCCTGAATCCTAGACACACCCTAGGTTTGCAAACCTACCTGTGTACCCTTCGGGATGAAGAACTCCTTGAGATACGTGTCTTGGGTTGTATGATGTGGTACGGTGGTCGTCCCTATACTCGTACGAAGAACTTCACGAGCGATGGCCGTAACCAACGGGAGACGTGGTTGGTCATCGAGGGTCGGTAAACGATCACGACCGACAACCTGGTCGATTTGTGCTTGAGCCTGTCAAAGAAGAGATGAGTGTAAGTCTGTAAGATTACAACTTGTGTGTGAGTGATCCCAGGGAACACACCATTTTATTGGGACGTAAATAAACGCCAAAACGTATGAAGAATACTTAGGACGTTTCGAGAACGTGGTGTGTTTGCTGGGGAAAAAAAACATTTAGACACACCAAGTATAACATCTTAATCAGTGCCCGTTTCCCCGATTGAGGTATGACTCGTAGGAGGGTTACTTCGTGCATAGGTGGATCCATTTATCGCCCCACCGGAACAATTTCTCAGAATGTTACCATGGTTACGCTACCAGCTATCATCAAAATCGTGGACTTTCATAGCGTTCAAACATTTTGCACCCCTCACCTTACAGAAACCCATGCAGGAACCCTATTTTGTTTTTATGTTTTATGTAGCTTGTAACTTGTAATTGATATCAAGTTTTATGAAACAGGACCCAGACTTATTCTTACTGTCAATATCAACTTGCATGTTAACCGATTGAGGTATGACTCGTAGGAGGATAGAAACCGTCAACTAACAAAATAATCAATCAATCTATCCATAGAATAAATTAACAAATTTGTTTAGTTTCCTGCGGCAATCAACCCGGCTCTTCATCATTTCAGTTTAACAGAAAAATTGGATTCAAGTTGATAGTATTATTATACCTTTTCTTGGATCTCGGGGTAGTAGGCCATGTGTAGCATTGTCCACATCGTATGGTTGGACGTCGTGTCTACACCAGCGATCAACAGATCCAACACCCCTCTCCAACAAAACTGATCGTTGATGAAACTGCACGTGTGGTCCTGATCTTTCTCGTCGTCGTCGTCTTCCTCATCGTTGACCCTTGACCCTCTCTTGACCTCTCTGAGGTAGTAATCGATGACGTCGCGTAAAGAGTTATTGTTGAATGACCTATGAAAGATAAGTGATTATATGCTGTCAAACCATGATAATAGACCCGAGGGTTATGTCAATTCACATCATTTTCCTCTGCCAGTCACCGGTGATGCAGACACACACAAAATTAATTATAACCACAATATCAATCCGAAATAAATTGTACCGATTTGTTATAAACACGAATGAAGTGTATTCCAAAGCTTGGGGCCACGCCTTCACAAAAATATATAGAACAGTGCGTCACTTGACAATCTTGCGTTAAACTATTACACATGAAACGATTATGCCTGACGTAAGATTGCGTCAGTGACAGGTGTGGTCTCTGGCGCACCTCTGGCGCAACATGACATGAACGATGCAACGTTTATTCGAACTACTAGCGTATGGATTAATCGCCTTCCCATGGTTGATAACGCAATCGAAATGACACCACGTGTGGTGCTCCGGCATTTTGTGCTCGTGCGACAGTTATTGCTCCAGATTTTATGTTGTCAAGGTATAGGGGTTAGTGTAGCAGGAGGGTTAGGGAAGCAGTAGGCTTTCAGGTTAGGTTTAGGGTTAGGGTCGTGCTTAGGTATAGTGTTGGGTCGAGTTTACAGGGTACATGTTGTATGACACTGTAGGGAATGTCTCAGGAGCAAGTGTCGGAGCAAGTGTCGCAGGAATAAGAGTCGTACAACCGTGCCATGCAAGGGGAATACATAACTTGCAAACAATATCCGACGGTGCTTACTTGTCGTGTTCGATGACCTCATTCTTGACGTAGATCGTCACATTCTCTACAGCTTCTCTATATCTCTTACAGAGGCGCGTATGGTAAAGGAAAGGCAACATGTTGTAGATTGAAGTATTGGACAGATTGTCAAGGATCTCCTTGCAGTCCCGGCGTAGCTTCACGAACCGCGGGTCGTTGAAGTCGTAACGCTTCCCCAGCGCGACGGCATTCATGATGTTGCATGTCATGGTGGTCATCATTTGATCGGGGTTGATGGGGTTTCCCTCCAGCTTGTCCACGTAGTCACACATGTTGAGGCACTCATCGTTGATGCGTTTGCCCATTAGGCTGCGTCCCATGCCCAGGGTGCGGAGGGTTCGGTTCATGAAGCGCCGGTGCTCCTTCCAGGGATCGCCATTCTGCCACGCTATACTTCCTGAAAAATGACGAGGAAGAAAGAGAAGATGTTGAGAGTTATTAGGAAATAATGGATATATTGAGAGACACAGAGAAAATGATCTCTCCTATAGTTAACACATTGACTAAGAACATTGGAGTTTGTGGGGCATTTTAGATCAATTAAGCGCCCATCACCTAGAGATGAACATGGAAAGAAGCGATCATCATCCCTAACATCATCATCACCATCATCATCATCATCACCATCATCGTCATCATCACCATCACCATCATCATCACCATCATCATCATCATCATCACCATCATCATCATCATCATCACCATCATCACCATCATCACCATCATCATCATCATCATCACCATCATCATCATCACCATCATCATCATCATCACCATCATCATCATCATCATTAAATCATCATCACCATCTTTGTCATCACTACTGTCAATTTTAACATCATTGTAAGTTTACAACATGTCAATCGGCAAATAATCCAAAGGTTTCAATCTTGCGGACAACCCATCTTGACCCTTCCCCGCTTCCGAAAGCTTTTTGACTTTCACTACTACTCCAGACCCAGATAAACCCCAAATACCACCTCTTATTCACTCCCGCCCGGAAGCACAGACTATACGTCAACCCTCCCGCCCCCAGTTAGCCCATCTCGTAGGCTGGCCAATTCATCTTCTATTACGTGCCTATTCATCCAGCGGCCCATATCTCCTATGCTTTTGTTGGGAAGCGTTGCTCTTGAGTCATTTCAAATTGATATTGGGCAGGGTCGCTTTGCATATCAATTCTCATTACCCAAGCCATTATGTTGTGTATTAAACAGAGGGCGAGAGAGAGAGAGAGAGAGAGAGAGAGGGGGGGGGGGGAAGAGAGAGAGAGAGAGAGAGAGGGGGGGGGGAAGAGAGAGAGAGAGAGAGAGAGGGGGAGAGAAAATTGAAGACAAATATACAGTCAGGTAGATATTTAAAAAAGAAGGGGAATCGACGGGCGGTTAAGGAGGGAGAAAGAGATGCAAGAGGGAGTGCGAGTGTATGTGTGCTTGCGTGTGAGATAGAACGAGAAAGGGAGAAAGGGAGAGAGAGAGAGAGAGAGAGAGAGAGAGAGAATGATATTGATGGAGGAGCATGGTGTAGTTTAATACATAAAGAGAGCCACATGCTATAAGTGTGGACATCAATTCTAACCTAGTAGGCCCTATATGTTTTTCGTTCATATCATTACCGGCCGACAGACAACAAGTGATAATATTTTCACTGGGGGAAAACATATCTAACCGAAAATACGACCACTCCCATTCAGCAAAGCATTTATAAGTACGTTTATATGGGGGGGGGGGGGGGGGGGGGGGGAATACAAAAGTAATAATTTGTCATAAAATACCTCGAAAATTAATTTCAGTGACTGGAGAATGCAAACAAATCCAGATTTTACTACAGAAAGAGACACATACAACTTACATTACAAAAAAAAAGAATTGTTATCAAATAATTCATGCTCGTATTACGTCCTAATGTTCGCACAACATGAAACAATTCACATTACGTTGATTTCCTCTAAGGCCATGTAAACAAATATACATGTTTAGCGTCCCCGCCCGCTTCCTTTTTGGGGGCCGCCTCCTATTCATTTTATTATTATTATTTTTTTTTTTTTTTTAAAGAAAAAACACATCAAAAACACTGCTAAAATGGATCTATTTCTGATTTTAAAAAAAATAAAATAAAATTGTTGGCCGCCATCTTGAAAAATAGCCTGAATGTCAGGGAAAATGTACCGAGTGGCCATTTTGAGCGGCCAATTTGAAAGAAAAAAAAAGGGAAAAAAAGGGCCTCCTCCTTCCTATTTTTCGAAAAAACAGGACGCTAAACATGTTTTTTTTTTTATTTGGCCTAAAATCTTTACAATAGTATTTGGACTGTAAGTTATTGGATCTATAGCATTATCTATTACTCAAATTGTATGAAATGATGTCACTTAAATACACGTGTCTGTTAGGCGTCAATTCATCTTTAGACTGGGATTGTTTATTTACAAAATAAGCGCTCCAAAGTATTATTATACACATTTTATTGCGAACGCACTTGGATGTTATTGCCCTTGCCCCCCAACACCCCCTAGAACTGACGCCCCCACAAACAAAACATAAACATGGAATAACATATTGTTTAAAAACAGTATTATAATACTGTCTTTATTAGTAAAAGCTCACAACATTTGTCATCTATCGGTTTTACTATCAACAATAATGTCATTCAATTTTCTCCTTGCTGTATTTTTATCATTATTTTCAAATTTATTATCAAGATAATATTGCCACGAAAAACCCATATTGTCAATACCCCTCTCTGAAAAAATATTTCCCCTTGAAAATTGAAGTTATGGTATAGAAATATATACTGAATAGACAGTGTGTGGTATTCACCTGGCATCCCCTATACTCGGTCATCCAGCCTCTAGTCTGCGCTCATAGCTATACACGGAGACAACATCATTGCATTACAATTATTATCAGGTCTGCCCCTGGCTACATAATGCTCTTCAGAATGAGATATGCGGTGCACGGCCTCAGAGCAATTTGGTAGTTGCATTATGTATGGCAGATAGTCGTCTGGTGGTAAACATGGTGTATGCACCTATCCCTATAGCAACGTATCATAGTAGGTATTGTCCCAAATGATATTGCTACTGATTTGTAATTCAAGTTTGTTATAGAGAATTAGAGATGATCTCAATATTTCAATCATGCTAATTATTTGAACCCCCTCTTTTCCCTACTTCATCAGTTTACTCTTATCAAAATCTAATTCATTATTCAAAGTATCAACGTATTATTAAAGTTGATACTCTAAGCAAATAAATGTCCCTTAATTTGTTACCTACGGCAAGTATATGTTATTTTAAGTTTTTCAATTACTTAGTATATCACAACAAAATTCTGTCTACTCGAAATCCTCAATTGAAATGTCTAAAATATCCGCCTCTCTTTGCATAGAAAATCAGTCACGGCGCTGGTCTACTATTTATGACCTCACGTCCGGGAGAGAGTATATTCACGTACCCGGATGTTCCATAGCAAACATGTGCAGAGTGATACGATTTTCTGCATATTTTTGTTTCAAAGGCTGAAAAGTCTAATAAATCATAATTCTATGCACAATTCTTTACCTTCCCCTAGTACTTCATAGTATTAATATCAATTCCCCTTTTAAAAATTATGACATATACATGCCAACGATGTGCTATTAGTCGATATTTTCACCATGTAATTTTTGTTTTGGTGTTGAAATCGGCCCAGGCACGGAGTAAACAGTAGCTGTCTACCCATGCACAGTTCATTACCATACACTACAGCGATCTCCCGATGGTTTCTTCTTCCTTTTTCCCATGTCTTTCGCCTTCCTTGGCCCTGAACATCCTTCATCTACCAATTCTGACACCGGTAGTCAGGAGCAAGTCTTTGTTAGTTGTTTTTCTTAGCTGGCAACGTCGCTTTCATTCTCTTGCAATTGCCGATAAACATATAACTAGCGCACGTACGTTCCATCACAAGCAAGCAGCGCCTAGAGCAGCGGCTTGGTCTTACCTCCCGATTCTGCTCGCTTCACGAACGTTCATGCAAGAGCCGCATCACTCGCCAAAATATTATAGAGGAAGCGCGCTTGCATGATCTCGTTCAAGTTTGATATTTTACAACATAAAATGTTTAACTGGTACTGTATCCTTTTTTGAGGCAGTCACACACATCTATGATAAGTACTATCATAGTTCTAGACCTATTCGTTTTACAAAACTGCTCATGTACATCTGATGACAATATAATGCATCCGCCTATTCATAAGTGCACGATTTAACTTTAATTCCTAAGCAGTAAACTCGTCTTAAATCTCTACCAAATAGGTGAATATGAGGATATAAAAAGAAATCAGCGACTGGAAAATGTTGCTTCGTTATTCTTCATTCAAATAAAAACAGAAAATCCATCAAATATACTCCTTAACAACAACAAATCTAAGCTCTGACAGGATAGCATTTACGTAGGGATATCACTGCCATTCACTCTCACTGAGCCCATGACTCCCGTTCGTGACGTCACGGATAGAGGCCCGACTCTACGTGCACTTCCGGGTTTCAGACTTATATATTTTGGTAGAGTTTACTCGAATAAATTCATTATTCTAAACTTGTTTTGTCGGGTGGACACCATTTGGTGTTATTATGGGGGTTAAAAGCTTTCTATTTATGTAATTATCTCAGTATTTGGGATTGTCTTAGAGTATCAACTTTAAGGATTATAAACATTATATATCAGTTCAGCTTTTGCTTTTCCTAACCCCGCCTACCACTTTATCCGCCATTAAAGTTTCAAACGAAAAATAAAGTATTCAACGAATATATATATTTTTATTTAATTGTAGACTTTAAAGGAGTTTATTATTTATAATTTCATTACTTTAGACTCGATTTCAACCGCGACAACAATCCGTCGCTGTTTTCACGAAGTGACGGTAGTGAAAAAAAATTGCATTCACTTTGCGTTACGATTTTCCTTACTACCGTCACTTCGTGAAAACAAGGAATCATTGAATATTGTAAAATCGTATATGCTTCTAATATGTTCATTTGAACCAAATTAATGACCCCATACCAAAACTTTGTATTACCTTTAATCATTAGACATGTGTGGTTAAGAATACATGCATTCAATCATAATTACACAATTATCATTAATACCATCAGAATCGTACCCGTACCTAATGATGTGCACCATCTCCATTCCCTGTGGAGTACCGTTACCAAACTATGACCTTGGACATAATGGAGGCATAAAACATCATACCGATGTAAACTGCACACGGGCCCAATTTTTGTTTAAAGCCCATCTGTACTAGTTTGACCAGGAGGGATTAGACTATCCAGTGTCGTCACTTACAGGTAGTTATCTCATCAACTCAGCTCTCAAGTAACATAAGAAAAAGAGGATCATGAGGGACCAATGGTCACCG